TCAAATACAACTTTCAAATGAACTGTATGGAATTTTATGACTTTAAAGCGTGAAACGGCGCTATAAAAAAATTAATTCTACTGAAAAGTATCAAAATTAATGTTATTTAAATTTTTACAATGTGTGTATGTGTAATAATTCAGATTGTTTAAAATTTTAATGTATGCATTGTTGTATGCTACTATTTTTGTAATAAATGTTATAAACTTATGAATTTTATAAGGTATTTTTTGATTTTCTTCGATATGTCCTTTATTTTCCCCCAAAAAATATGGTCACTGTAGCCATGCCTGGTCTAGACCAAAGTTACCATCTAACATAACCATTTAAACAGGAAAAATGTAATACAAAAAAATGCATGAAAATAATATAAAATTATTTATTTAACTTTTTATACATTATACATGTATGTTTCCATTCGTTCTGTGATATTACAACATGAACTGCTTAATCTGAAGATTCCCTTTACACTTTTCATTTCTTTCTTGCTTTTTAAAATTTTTTATTTAGCCATAGCACAGATCTTCACATTTTTCACTTTCTTGCTTGGAAATTATTTCTATATTAATGTGTAAGTTAATTAATTAGCTTTCTCACCCTATTTTGTTGGTTTCTGGCTAAAATTATATAGTAGAATAATTTTTAAAAATATATTTCTGTTGCTAAAGATGCAAGTAAACAGATATTTAATCCTTAGAAACTATAATAAAGACAATGACTAATGCTCTAATCAAGGCAGAAAAACCTTGATCTATGCGCATGAGTGAGGCTCTGGACAGGTCTGAACCCTCACTAAAATTCATATTAAAATAATTTTTTTAAAGAAAAAATATATGAAAAATAATGGAAATAGATTTTTTATATGAAAACGCAACGCTAACTTTTAAACAGTAGAAGAATGTAAGTCTGTCGACCATCTCTGGTTGGAGATTGAATTAAACTTCGATTTTGACCTCTCCTGCACCCCCGAAAAGTTTTGAATTGTCATCAGGTGACAAGAAGTGACCAGTCAGAAAGTGGAATTGGAGGAAAACGGATAAAACCCCGGACATTCGAGGACGTGACAGCTTCTTCTCCCGAAAGTTCCAAGTGACGGATCTATTGTTGTGTGTGTGTCTCGCACCCATCTTCGTCTCCATCTCCCGACCTCAGATCAACATCTTTCCATCAACGGAAGTTGACTGCATTGTCCTGGAGTCGTCAAGGTGTCGATGGAATTGTTCATTCGCAAACAAGGGACACTCCTTCAAAAGTCTATCTTGGAAAGGAGAGGAAGACCCAGAGACCACACCAACATAGAACTTCCAAGATCGCGGAAATCTTGTAAGCATCTTTCGTGTTTAATAAACAGGTTGTGTTGTTGTAAATGAGGCATCTATCTCTGACTCAACTGCTCCTACATGTCATTGATTGTTACCGCTCCAAACAGCAAGGGAGACTATGACGATATATATCACATATTATTGTTAAATTTAGTTTTTTAAATTTCTCCTCTCCTCGGCCCCCACACATACTATGTTGGCCACATTTGTTGTAACTATTTGATTTTGTTGTAGCATTATTCATTGTAGCATACCCATTGTATTCTCATGAATGCATGAAAAACCTGCTTAGTTATAGCAAATGATAATAATACTAATATGTTTAATTAAACAATAATATTTTTATTCAAGAATTGTGTTGGATAGAGGTTATCTGTAGACTACTGAAGGTTGTTTGGGAAATTCATTAGTTTATGGAAGATTTTGCAACAACAAGACACACGGTGTTTTTTCTCCTTAGCTTTTTTTTTTGTACAAGAGTTGCATCTTATATTGTAAAATATGGTACAGTACATCAGTTTGAAGGAACTGCAAATAAAGTGCATTGTCAATTGTCCTGTCATTTACATTTTTAAATGTTTTTTTAGATCAGTCATCAGAATCAAGTTTAGCAGCAAATTCTAAGCTGATTTGTTGGTTAGCTTTTATGTCTGAATCGCTGCTTTTCTGTTATAGCTTCAGGCTAAACTCAATCTCTGTCTCTCTCTCATCTAAATAGTTGCTAATTTCTAATTTTGATTCTATTGTTAGCAAATTATAGTTTCTTTTAGATGTCAATACCATATGAGCACTATCAAAAATCCACAATGAGATACACAGTAAGGCACACAACAAATTATAGTAATTTTTATTTTCCTGGCTATTATATATAACAGGGAAAGTATGGCAATTGATCAAAAAATGGCCCCCAGATGTTTACATTTTCGACTCTGGACCTTGAAATGTTGAGAAATGCAAAAATGCAAAATAGCATTGGTTGGAGGTTTCTCCTGTATATTTGAGTAGGGTAGGTAGAGTATGCTTTTCTTCACCCAATTTGAAGCTTAATAACTCCAGTGTTTTTTGTTGAAAATTTCTGAAATTTTACAGGGAGATTTTTGTATTAGGAGGATTGATACAATTATATTTTGGTGGATAAAGGTCAAGGGAATGGGGAGATAGAGGAGGGTCATGTGTCATATCTTGAGTGATTGGACTTAATGATTTTACTCATTATTAGCATTTAAACAAAAGCAAAATTAATTTTGAGGGTAGAGATAAAACTTATCTATACCCTCAAAATTAAGCTTTTTACCATTTTATAATAATTAATAATATAAAAAGTTTTTTAAATAAAATGTTAAAATAGATGGTGCCCACATAGTTTTGCCAGGAAAGTTATTCAACTTCTTGCTCAAGTTTTTTGTAATAGGTTCACTTTGTAATGGTCATTTCATAAAACCAGCTTATACATAACGGTAAAGGTGCGCCCATTTTCAAGCATTAAAAGTCAGTTGAAAAAAGAAACTCAAGCAATTTCATTTTTATATCTAAAACATCTGTAGGAACAACACTTATGAAGTAAGATACATCAAATTAAACTAATCAGATGGAACTGAATTCTTTCTATGTAAAAGTTTGTTGTTTCAGAACTATTGATATTTCTATATTATTATGTATATATTTATATATGTTTCTAAAAGATTACTAAAATTTCAATAAGAATTTTCTTTTTTTTAATTATAGATAATAAATATATGAACCTGCTAATATGATTGAATGAGATTTGATCTGAAATTGGTATAGTATATAATATATATATATATATATATATATATATATATTTTTCATTAATTTTAGTATTAGGTAATTTTAGTATTAGAAACAATTTCATATTCAGGTAATAGCAAGAAGAAATTTTCAAGTTTAAAGAGTTAACATTAAGCATTTATAACAGTATTGTTCACTGTTGTTTTGACTGTTATAAACAATCAATTTAGTTAATCTTCTACATGCTTTTTATTTTTTCTGTTTTTCAAATTATTCTCCTCATATTATTGATAATTTTACCATAAAGTAAGCTATTTATCTTAATTAACATACTAATCTATATATTAATTTAAAGAGAATTTGAGACTGTAAGACTTAGTTTGAGTAAATGGCTGGACTAAAAACACAGTTCAGGTATCAAATTAAAGCTTTTATGCTGTAAATGATGCTGCTGAAGAAAGATTTGAGAAAGATGCAATGATTCAGATTGGCAAGTGGCAAAGATACAATGTTAAATCTATGGGAAGGCAAGTGACAAACATTTCAAACAATCACACACCATCTAGTGAGTTAGTTTTTCTTAATCATTTCAACAACCTGTTGCTCACTACTGTTGTGAATTCTGATTTGTTTGCTAATTACATGTTAATTAAAAGATATTTGCATTATTTTTCTCACTAAATTAGTTTTGTCAATATTGACCATAGTACAGTCTCAACTTTTAGCACCATTCACTGTTTTATTTTACTACTAGCAGACCCCGCCACGCCTTGTTGTGGCTCAAAATGTATCTATTATAAATGTATAACACTTCCCCAGTGGGGGGAAATTTTTAGAAAAATTTCTTCTTAGTGTACATTCTGTTGACGTATCCTATTAAAATGCAATCAAAAACGCAAAAACCCGCATCTAAAATAGTATAATAGAAGCCAAGTTTTTCAGAGTATGCCTTAATCCTGTCTCTCTCCCCCGCGGGGAGAATATCGAAAAATTCCTTCTTAGTGTACATTCTGTTGACGTACTCTATTAAAACGCAATCAAAAACGGAAAAAACTGCATCTAAAATGGTATAAATAGAAGCAGAGTTCTTTACGGTAACCTTTTCCGTAAGGCTTACCGTAAAGAACTGTTCGTCCCCCATGTTTAACGGAATAATATATAGCCTATGTCCACACTGAAGTTCCATTCTAAATATTGGTGAAAGAATTTTTGAAATCGGATGAGTAGTTTCGGAGATTACCTGCTGCATACAAACTAACATACATACAAACATTACCTCTTTATAATATTAGTATAGATTACTTTATGATGAGATCAAAATGTGATTCTAATCATCCAATTTGTTATTTAATACTGATTGATTGGCTTTCTCAACAAATCTACTAACTATAAGAATAAACTTGAACATACAACTGTTGATAGGTTAAGAATTTGATAACAGCCAATGAAATTGCCATGAGATGTGCTGACACTACCCTCACCATTAATCCACGACCCTAAAAGTTGAAGTTGATCGGCCTTACAAATGCTAAATTGCCACTCTGGGACCTGGGCACAAAATTGAAAAAAAATTGAGAGAGAGAACTTGTGGGAGGATCCTCATTGTACCAGGTAGATGCAAATCACCTGCAAGTGTACCTAGAAAACACTTGCTATACTGATGATTTTTGTATAGATTGTCAAATTTTAAATGAGCTCATTATATTTTAATCAAATAAAATGTCAATTTTGATAGGTTGCAGCTAGTGTGTTTTATTAGTAATTAGCAGATATGTCTGGCATTGCCTACCAAAAAGTAAGAAGGATAAATGTTAAAATGAAAACCATACATTACAAGTTTGGTTATTTTTGGTCAATAATTGTTATGTTTATCATGAAGTGTCAAGGAGATAAAATCAGGGAAAGACTAGGGTGCCCAGATTTAATGGATGTCTATATTTTCTTCAAAGTTCCACACAATAAGTATGAAAAATTTGGTGCATATTAGACAAAAGGTTTAGGAGTTAATAAGATGGATAAAAGTGGGAGGGATAGGGTATCCAGGTTTTCATGGTACTCTTCTTTCTTATAATTTGAGCTGACACATAATTTCACCCATTTAAATAGTATCAAAAAGAATTTTGAATAAAAATCAATTTTTTTTGTCAGATCTTTTAAAACTCAGTTTTGTTTTTTTTGTAAAAATAGAAATGGTGATTCAATTTATTTGTGCACATGTTAAGTTATTTGTATGTTCTAAGTTAATTTATTTTCTTTACATTGTTTAATTATTTTGTATTCATTAAACTCTTCCATTGGAGGAATGTAAGGTCTTATTATGTTCCAATCAGAATAGCACTTGCTTGTTTGCAGCATATTCTAGGTATGGGCAATCAAAAATAGCAGTTAAAGAGCAAATCATACTTTCTGGGTTGTATTTAATGTTTGTAGTTTGTGATAAGGAGTATAGTCATTTAGTGATGTTATAAAGACCCGAAACCCACCCGAACACAAACACCCGAAAAAAAAAACAGTTAAAACACCTGATTTTACTATCACAAACATTTTCATTCATCTACAGCAAACATCATCAGGTAATGGAATATAACCAAATAGAGCACTTTTAAGTATAAAATTTAAATTAAGCAGAACATTTCTGCAAAAGTTATAAAGATAACTGTTGAAGTATTTGGTAACATTGAAGTTTAAAATTGGAGTAAGGATATCATATTGAAAGTATGATGGAAGGGGAGCAATGTCCGTCCATTTTCCCACTGCTGCTGACGGCCTTTTTTTTTAAAGTGGTGTCTCTGATGATATAAAATATCCCTGTAAAAAATGCTTTTGAATAATGATTATAAAATTTTAATAATAACTGCATTGCAATAACTGCATCAGGGATTTTTATTTATTGTACAGATGGATTTTTTCTCTAGCTAGTCTTCTTAGTCACTAAAGCCTAGAAATAACATGCAGAAACAGATAATGGAAATTTTCAAATGGAACATTAAATGGTATCATTTCTACTGCCAAAGTCAACAGAATACAAAGTTGAATACAAGATGACAAAAATTTCAACATTTGTCATCTTAGAAAGTGAAACAGTAAAAATTACACCAATAGTAAGGCTATTTAATAACAATGTCGTAAACACCATGTATGAGGAGAGCATTTGAACTGTGGCAGTCAGAATGCCTAGAAAGTGTGATTTGTTGTATTTATTATCTGAATTAAATATTAATTGGTCAAATTTACATCAAAAGATACTCATCAGTGTGTAGTTACAATTTGGATTCTAAAGTATTTGATATCCCTAATCTCGATCTAATTGAATATTTTTACACACAAATTCATTTGTGGCTTTCTTTTTTACTGCCGATATAATCAGAAGTGAAGAATGAAAATTCAATTGATATACACATGTTGGTATATATGATGCAGAAAGACAATGGAATGGTAATTCTTAACTTACCCCAGTTTCTGTTGCCCACTTTCATGTGTGGTTACTAGGCTTAAGCATATGGAGTAAAAGAGGTTATTTAATATACAGGTATACCTTGAGTTACGTCATTCTCGATTATACATCGTTTGTCAAAAAATATATTGAAAAATAAAAATCAATTTTCAAATCAACAAAATCGACTTTACGTCTGTTTGCCACAAATATTCGAGTCATAATATCACTAGAAAACCATTAAAGCACATAAAATCATATCAAAATATGTACTGTACATTTACAGTAAATGTTAATATAATCATCATAAATCCTAGAGAACGAAACATTAAAACATCTGTGTTTCTGTGTTGTCGTCTTATTTAGCAGTCTTTAATGCTCAGTACAGTAATACCCCGACTTACGCAAATCCCGAGTTATGCGATCTTCAAATATTGTCGATTCGTCTTTTGTTTGAGCGCCACGCAACCCTTGATTACTCACCCCCCCACACCATTGTTCAGCTTACATGTTCGGATGTGTCGTGCGGAATCCACACATAGCTGCAATTTATTTTGTGTTATTTATTTCTGTGTTTGTTATATCTACGGAGACTCGAGAGACTCTACTATGTCATCCAAACGAAGTAGAACTAATTCTTCCGCATCAAACAAGAAAAGAAAAACTTTATCTTTGAAATGTAAAGTTAACATTGGGTATGTTCGTAAAGTCGAACGAGTTAAACGAGAATGACGTCATCATTATTTCTATTTCGTTAGACTTTTCGAACGATTCGTTACTTACGCGTTTAACTCGTTTGACTTTACAAACGTACCCATTATTAAAGACTTTGATACAAAAATGAAAATTTGTGAATTGGCAAAGAAGTTTGATCTACCGGAATTGTCGGTCAGAACAATTATAAAAGGCAA